GGGGGCATTTGTTGATGACTCTGGGCAGAACCTGGAGACCCAAAAGGGGAAGCCTTGGATCCGCCTCTCACGAGATCACTTGGTTTTATTATCTGCTTCTTTCTTCCACTGATTTATATTTGGCTCTTGTTGTCTTTTAGAAATATAATGCAAGGCGGCTAATACTTCCTCCTCCTCCTCTTCCTCTTATCTTCCCCACAACAACAGCCCCGTGATGTGGGTTGGCCTGAGAGAGACGGACTGGCTCAAGGTCACCCAGCTGGCACTCAGGGCCACGGCAGGACTAGAACTCCCATCTCCTGGTGACGGGCCCAAGGTCACCCAACTGGCGCTTCATATATAACGCGGGGGTCATATAATGGTCTCCCAGTTGCTAGGCTAGTTTCAATTTGCGATTTATAAAAATGATAAGAGAGTTTAGAAAGAAAATCTTTAAAAAGGGGGGGGGGTTGTGAGTTGCGTGCTTCTGTGTTGTTGTGACTGTTGCTATCCTTGACCGCAACAGAATGCATTGTGATGATTGTTGGTTTAGTAAAGTTTTAGTTGGACGTTTTGCGCAGAGTTGCTGTTGCAAAACAGGTGGAGGTATTTAAAGGATTAAAGCAATCAAATTACAAAGGGAAACTCTACCCAGGTGTTGGCTAAGATTCCACAATGGTTTGTGGGAACACAATCCTAAAACGGATTAATCTGTCAATCAATCAATCATAGATGTTTGGACGAGGCCACGGGGGAAAATTTGTGGACGTTGGCTGGGTGTTCCCAGTTTCATGTTTCCTTAAAAAAGTGGCTATTTTTCAGCACTTCTAGATTCGGACATAAAAGAAGACAAGCGGTCCTCAACTTATGGCCATTGATTTTGTGACCATTCGAAGTTAACAACAGCATTGCAAAAAAAACCGATTTATGATCATTTTTCACACTCAAGTGGCCACTTGATCAAAATTCAGGCGCTTGGCAACTGACTCAGATTTATGACGGTCTCAGTATCCAGGGTTACACAATCCCCTTTTGAGACCTTCTGACAGACAGGAAGCCAGATTCACTCCACAACTGTTTAACTAACCTAATGCAGTGATTCACTTAATAACAGTGGCAAGAAAGTACGTCAAATAGGGCAAAACTCACTTGTGCCTCACTTAGCAATGGAAATTTTGGTCATAAGTGGAGAGCTACCTGTGAATTAGCTGCTTTCTCCTTCTTATTTCATCTAGCAAGAAATGACAAGGGCTGCCCGGTCTTGAAAACAGGGGGGGGGGGCGGAATTCTCCAAAGAACCCATTTAATAAAAATAAATAAAAAATAAAGTCAAAAGTTTTGAAGTTAAAGTTTTAAAGTTAATGTTTTAAAGTTAAGAGTTTTAAAACCAAAGTTTTAAAGTTAAATTTAAAGGGTTTAAGTTAAAGTTAAAGTTAAAATAAATGAAATTAAAAATAAAATCAGAATGAGAATCAAAATCAGAATTTGAGCAGGAGAGGAGAGAAAAAGGAAGGAGGAAGGCTAAGAAAAATCTCCAACTGAGATTAAACATAGCAAAGGAAATAAAAGGGAGATAAAAGAAGAATAGCAATATAGCAATATAGCAATATAGAAACGAGGAATATATTGAGGGGGAGGGGAGGAAACTGGAAACCCCAAATTTAACCCAGAGAAATCAGGAAGGGATTCCCACGAGTGTTGTAAAAAAAAAACAACCCACTCCCTCTCGACAATTTGCATTTTGCAAGAAACAGCCTTACTCCGCCTCGTTTCAGCATTTATTATCTTGTTCTTAAAACAAAAGCTGCCTTAAAAACATTTCTGCAATTTCCCACGCTATTTCCCTAAACTATTTCTCTTCTGCGTGCTGCAATCGTTTCCTTCCCACCTCAATTCAGACTTTATGTTCTATTGCAGATTTGAATTTATACAATCATTGACAAAGCTCGTATCTGATTGACGTTCTCCACGGTCCCCCCAATGTAGGTCTAAGGGGGAGGGGGAAATTGGAGAGAGATCACCCTCATCAGAGATCTGAGATGGGATCCCTCCGGATCTTCTCTTAGGCGGTGACGTATCCGGCGACCACTTTCTTTCTCTTGAAGAGTTTCTTAAGTCCCTTCTTCAGCT